AGGTCTGTGTGTACCCTTTTGCAACAAGTCCGGCCTTATACCTTTCTATACTTCCATCTACTTTATCTTTTTCTATGTAAACCCATCTACATCCAATTGTCTCATTGCCCTCTGGTAGATCCACAATGCCCCATGTCTGATTCTTAATCAAAGTTTCTATCTCTTCCTACATAGCTGTCTTCCACTCATGTTTGGAGAGAGTCTCACTAACACCCTTGGGTACAAACACAGAGTCAAGAGAGGAAAGAAAAGCATGGTAGAAAGGAGAAAGTCCATTGTATGATAAATACTGTGAAATACAATGAACAGTACACTTTCTCTTCCCTTTTCTGAGAGCAATAGGAAGATCGAGGTTATCTATAACAAGGTTAGTAGAATCAATGGGAACTAAAACAGTAGTAGGATCAAGATGAATACCTGAATCCATGTCAGTTGAATCTGGAGTCTCCAAAGAACCAATAGGAAGTGATGTGAGTTCTGTTATTGTGGAATCAACCTCCCTGTGAAGTCTTTGTCGTGAGTAATACTGAGAAGCAGGACGTAAAAGAGGTGGTAAGGTAGGTGACACAGGAGGGTCAAGCATAAGAGTAGACACGGGGACTGGAATTGGGAGAGGAATAGACTGCTGACTCACTTCCCCAAAACACTCCCCCTGAGAAGGATTCTTTGAGAAGAAGTATATGGATTCAAAAAATGTGTCATCCATGGTAACATACCGGCTCCCAGAGACTGGATTATAGCAGCAATACCCTTTCTGATTTTTTGCATATCTAAGGAAGACACACTTCTTTGCCTTATGATCAAGCTTTGAGCAGTGAGGACCAAGGATATGGGAAAAGCATACACACCCAAACACCCTGAGAGGAATATGAAACATCTCCCCCTCAGGAAAAAGGAAACTGAATGGGGTGCTGAATCCAAGTATACGAGAGAGCACCTTATTAATCAGATATACTGCTGTGAGAACTGCATCGCCCCAAAACCGAACTGGAACTGTAGATGTGATCATCATGCTTCTTGCAATCTCAACAATGTGCTTGTTCTTCCTTTCTGCAACACCATTCTACTATGAACTGTAGGAACTACTCTGATGGACAATACCACATTCTAACAGATATGAGGCAAGGTGTTTTTCAAAACATTTCCTGGCATTGTTTAATCTGAACACATTTATTCTTGTTCCAAACTGTGTTAGCACCATCTGATGAAATTGCCTCACCAAGGATGGTACTTCATCGCGGGATCTCATCAGGTAAATCCAAGAGTATCGTGAGAAATCATCCACAAATAAGAGAAAATATCGATAGCCTTCCATATAAGGAACATGGTAAAGTCCCCACACACCAGAAGAAGAATAACACCTTTTATTACTATGTTTAAATGAATGTCTACAATGCTTTCCAAGTTGACAACCTTCACACTCCAGACTTGACAAACTAACAAACTCAAAAAGTTTTGGAAACAAAAGACTCAAAGAAGAAAAAGGTAAATGGCCCAAACGATTATGCCAAAGCATAATTTGACCCACAAACCCTAACTCACTATCCCTGCTGACATGATAACTGATGAGGATGAAGCACATCCAGAAGGTAGATTCCATTTACTTCACGACCACTCCCAATCGTCATCTTTGAATCCAAATCCTGCAAAATACAATGACCAGGAGAAAAAATTACTGACCAGTTCAGGTTCTTAATCAAACTACTAACAGATAGCAAATTGGTGCTCAATCTGGGAACATGAAAGACAGAGGGAAGGGAAATAGAATCACTAATCTTGACAGATCCCTTCCCAGCAATGGAAATATGGAATCCATCAACTATAGAGACCCTATCTCTGTCAGAACAGAGCTGGTAAGAGGAAAAAATAGTAGAGTTATGGGTCATGTGCTCTGAGGCTCTAGAATCTATAATCCAAGGAGTTCCCTCCTTACCTGAAGTAGAAAAATAATTTGTAGTAACATGTGAACTACCTGTGTGAGCAAAGGAAGTAGAGTGGACTCCATCAGTACCACCTGTACCTTGTTGTCTGCTTGCTGCCAAACTGGAACTAGCTGTATCCCGTTGATTCAGAAGTTGCCCATACCTCTCAAGTTCGGCCCTTACTGCAGCAGATACAACAGACACTAGAGTAGTTGTAGTAGAAGGGGCCAGAATGTCACCAGTAACTGCCATGTGAGCATTTCCCTTCTTATTTTTCAGTCTATTCGACACAAGATGTGGGTGAAGCTTCCAACAAGTATCTCTTGTGTGTTTAGGCTTCTTACAGTAGTCACAGATCAAATCTCTTTTATCTTCCTTCTTAATTTCACTACCACCCCGATCTCCACTTTGTTTAGGTTTCATAGTATTCACCATGGCAGACTGATAAAAAACAGGATTTTTCATCATCACATCTCTCCTGCTCTCCTCCCCTGACACAAAGGCATATGCCTGAGAGAGGATAACACTGTCCCTGCAAAGAAGATGTTGTCTTGCAATATCATACTCATGATTAAGGCCAGCAAGAAAAAACACCCTATACTTCTCTAGATATTTCTGATAGGTAGTTGCATCCTTAGTGGTTTCCCAAGCAAATGTCACTAAATGGTCAATCTCCTGCCATAGGGTTTTAAGGGCTGAAAAATAGGCTGCAACAGGTCTATCTCCCTGCCTTGTAGAAATAATTTGATTTCTCAAATGATAAGCCTTAATAACATTCTCCCTCTGTGAATAGGTTTCTACAACCCCATCCCATATTTCCTTAGTTGTATTTGCCCATAAAAAATTTACTTATATGGGGCAACATGGAGTTGCACAACCAAGTCATCACCATATAATTCTCCTATACCCACCGGGAGTTGCTAGTTTTGGGTTTCACTATTCACTAGTGATATACCATAATTTCCCACGAGCACCAATGGCCACCTTTGCAGATTGTGACCATTCTAAGTAATTTGCACCATCCAACATAACTGTACTAATGGCCCCAGTCCCGAAAAGGTCTCCAACACCTCCTCTCACTGGTCTCATTTCACTCCCGGGCTTATTTTCAACTCTGTGACCCTCCATGCTTCTCAAAAAGTGTAAAGAAAATAATTGAAATATGCAAGATCAAACGAAACACTTCTGGAACCAACAACACCTTTTTGGTGTCCTAAACTGTCTTCCCACAAAAGATTCATTTTCTACAGGACGGGAGAAGAGAGAGAAGAGGCAACCACTCTCTCTAGAAGCCTCCAAATCAGGCAAGACTTGAACCGCCCCTATAGAAAACTCCAAGGAACCCTAAAAAATTAAAGCACCACTTCCTAGGTCAAAATTAAAGAGTCCAACAAAAACAGGAATCTTCCCCTTTCTTCAATTTTTCCTGATTTTAATGAAAAACCTTAGACCAGCTACAGGGTAAACAGATCCACTAAAAAATCCAAAAACTAGGCTTACCTGAGATCTTCGATCAACCTCTTAAATCACCATGCAGTTGGCCGATCTAGGGCTGCATGAGAAAACAACTCAATGAACCTTTGGCCTGCTTTGATACCAAGTAAAAATCACTGATTGTAGATTTAGTTGAATTCCTTGTGAAGGGAAATAAGAAGATGAATATTTCAGCAGTAGAGAAGAAAAGAGTAGGAAGTCAACCAGGATTCTTAGATTAACCCTAGCCGCCAACCCCTTGTTATAATTCATACTTAACTTAAAGGATGATATATTACAAGGATGCCCTTAGTATGGCGACTACTAAAGTAGTTGAACAGTCACAACTTAAAAACATAAACTAATGAGCCTAAAGCCCAACTTCCTAACTAGCTCAACAACTTAAAGTAGCAGATTTTAATGAGAAACCCTAGACTAGCTACAGGGCAAACAGATCCACCAAAAAATCTAAAAACTGGGCTTACCTGAGATCTTCGATCAGCCTCTTAAATCACTATGCAGTCGGCCGATTTAGGGTTGCATGAGAAAATAACTCAAAGAACATTTGACCTGTTCTGATACCAAGTAGAAATCACTGATTGCAAATTTAGTTGAATTACTTGTGAAGGGAAAGAAGAAGATGAAGATTTCAGCAGTAGAGAAGAAAAGAGTAGGAAGTCAACCAGGATTCTTAGATTAACCATAGTCGCCAACCCCTCATTATAATTCATACTTAACTTAAAGGATGATATATTACAAGGATGCCCTTAGTAGGGTGGCTACTAAAGTAGTTGAACAGTCACAACTTAAAAACATAAACTAATGGGCCTAAAACCCAACAACTTCCTAACTAAATAACTTAAAATAAGAATAAAAACAACTAGGCCCAACTCAACAACCCCAACCCATTTAACCCACCCAACCTCCAGAATGGGTTGGGTCACGCGGGTCCAGAATGGGTTGGGTCACCCATTTAACCCACCCAACCCATTTAACCCACCCAACCGTCAAGATGAATTTGATCGCATAATACATGCACTTAGGGATAATTCTTAAGTGCATCTTTGTTGGGTATTTCTGAGTTTTGAAATGCAGCAGTAATTCCTTCTCCATGGATATAAGAGTAACAAAAACCCATGGACTCATCGTATACAACTAAAAAAGAAATCATCTTCATATCATCTAACTATCTAAGCTGTCCTACCTATATGTGGTTAGCTACATGAATGATGAATCTTATTTCACCATTCTGTTGTTCAGTACATTTTCACTTTAGACCCAGTTCTTACTATTCAACTCATGTCCTTTTAGTTCTTTTCTAGCCCCCCAATTTATAACAGGTCACTCTTTACAAGTGCTGTGGATGGTCTTCCATGCATGCAACCAAACCACCTTAAGGAGTGTTCAACTTTTTTGCTGTTGTGGCAGTTGATTTTATTTTCAAAAGCAAAACCAACCATGTTGTCCAACACCCCTTGGTCTATCTTCTCTTATTTTGTTACGGGCGCACAACTAAAAATGCATCAGAAAGAATAAAAGCAAATCCATATCATTGGCGTCAGGGGAACCATCTGCCATCAAGGAATGGTAATAATACACCTTGAATTCTTAAAAGCTCACCTCTTTCTTCTTCCAAAACACCCACATTGAATGTACAATCATCATAATTATACAACCTAAAACAATACATTCACCTAACTAAAATGGAATATCATCAACTACAAACATAATCAAATGGCTTTACAGAGGAGAGATTGTTTTTCTCTACATTTTCACATCTTAGGAACAAAACCCCGATTCCTTTACCTAAAGGTCTGAAATACTCCATACTAACTAAATCAAAACTCTCTGGCATTACTTGAACCACTCCCGCTAGTATTTAAAATGTATTTGTCATGTAATGCTTTCTTGCATAGATTCATGATTACTGTGTCTTGCAGCTGCATCAGAAAATAGCATGCAGGAAATCTAGTTAAGTTTTCAAAAAACTAGACAAGAAGATTTTCCTCCCATGTCATCAGGACTTCTAATAGCATTCCTTGAGTTCACCCTGCACAACGGATTAATGCATACTAAAATTTAATCACTTTTATTTTCAAGTTATAGAAGGACAAGTTTACAGTTTTCTACATCATAACCATAGCAAATTGATAGCCACTCCAATAAGAATACTAAGTGTTAATATTAATATTGGTATTAGTATCGTTATGCCTTCTTGGTCCCTGAATGCTACTATAGCCAATTATCAATCAGCAGAATTATTTATTTTCAGCAAATATGGAAGTACTTCTATATTTGAGGTAATGACATAAATCTAAGCATAACCTAAATGGACAAGATGAAGTGCAAAATACAAATCTAGTTTGGTATGCTCTCCTTTGTGCCTATCATTCTTTACATCATAATCAATAAAATTTTTACTGTTACCAATAAAAAAAAAATACCCAACCAACTATTATAGTCATGCTATATAAATGATATTTAAAGCTCAAATATATTTTCCTTTCTCTTCTTTCCTTCTTCATTTCATCATTTTGTGCCTCTTTCCTTAAGTAATTCCTAGATTTTCTTCCTGTAGCAACTTAGCCTGCATTAAATGGTTTGTTTTGTCATGAAAAAGTTAGGATAAGACCAGCAATGAAGTAAACTCAAGATCAAGATTCCTAAAACCATTATTCTAATTGAATCTTTGCTTGACAGTTTTTCCCCTTTTTCTCTTCTTATACCCCTCCCCCCTATCTCCATGTAAGTTGGTAACTTAGGTCAAGTCAATCAATTGAACTATAGATTTTATTTTCAGAAAGTTAATCATAACTTAACAATCTTTTTTTTTTGGCCAACCATCTAATAAAATGATTTTTGCCACCAGGAATGTCATTTCCAACAAGATTACTAAAAGAAAAGTGCAAATGGGTACAAAAGTATAGATATTGCAATGATGAATTTTGATTACCTAATATCTTTGACCTTCCCAGTCCACCTCCTCCTCAGCAAAAATTTCAGGATGTACTGCAGCATTAGTAAAATTTAGAGCCCTCTTGAGTTTCCAATGGTTAAATACTTCAACTTCAACCAAGAAGATTGAGCTAACAGGACGATGATCTGAGAGTCTTATTTCAGCCCGCTTGTACGAAAGCTGTTTGATGCCTTTCCCTAACCATAGAATGCGATCACACCTACAGGATGGCAAAAAAGTATGTCCCACATACATGGAAAAAAAAAAAAAAAAAACAAATTCCCTAACCATACCCAGCCAAAAGAAAGAAAGAAAAAGGAAACAATACAATCATCATTTTTTATATGTACTCCATAATAATAGGAAATCAAATTACAAGAGTTTCAGTAGTATGACACACAAGGAAAGGAACCCTTCATGACATGGGTCCAACATCGAAAAATTCTGCATCAAAGATCAATATTTGGCTTCTCCTTTCAATTAAATTCCACTAGACCTGCAATTCAACTCAATTCAGGCTTAATCCCATCTATCAGAGATCAGCGCATGAATCCTGTCTAACAATTATGCTCCATCAAAAGCCATGTTTTTGCAAGTCTTTAGATAATTTCTTACCACTTCAGATGACAATTTCTTTGGTTGCCCCCTTGCTCTTTTGGAGCTTTCTACTTGCACCAAGTCACTCTTGTGATATTACAGTCATTGGTTGTTTATGCACAACCCAACCATCCATTGCAATATCCTCTTTAATGCTTACATTTCTGGTCTGGTCCCTTCTACTCTTGCCACTCAACCATTACAATATCCTTATCTCAGCCAAACTCACTTTTTAAATGTTTTGCTTATTAATTTCCCAGCACACTGTCCCATATAACAATACTGGTCTTATAACTATCTTATGAAATTTTCCTCAAGTATTATTGTATATGCAGGTCATACAGCATTCTCTATCATTCTTTTTCTCATAAATGGGAATGTTGATATGAATGGTTTGCAAATTACAAATGGGTACATCATTGGAATCTTGGAGTAGCCTCAACAGGTGATAAAATGAAGGGGGTAAGCCCTCTTTTTTTTTTGTTTCTTGAAAATTTATACATTAAATCCTAATTATCCACCATAAGAGGTGAAGCAAGAAGCAAGTAGATAGAATTTTAGAATCTGAAGAGACATGATGGGAGAAAATTACAGATCATGCTATTCATTTACTCTTGTGGCAAATTCACAACATATATTTATAAGGAGAATGGATTACTATACTAATAAAAGAAATTTACTTAAGTGCAAAAAATGTTAATGAGAGCCAACAATAACACTATTGCATTGGTTGGGCAAATTTGTTCTTGAGAGATTAGGATGTAATTGCAGGGAGCAGGCTTTGCTAGTCAAGTAATCTACTGATCAAGTCCAAGCAACTTAGGAATTTTCCATAAAAGCTAAATGTTCAGGGGCCCAAAAGGCCCTTAGATATTCCTCTTGCCACCCTCCATTCACAGGACAAGTTTTAGATTATAAAACGCTTGGCAATGCCCAAAACCACCATTTTGTTCTGCCATTCTACCCAGTTTAGTGCCATATCTATTGTTAAATTATGGGCCCTTAAATCATTTTTTAATAGTTCCATGTCCTTTTGCTCTGCCCCTAGATCTTCTAGACCGTTGAACTTGTAATAGACACTTCTTCTTACCAGTGTTGTAGATGATCTTCTCTACACATGATCAGACCATCCTACTTTAATTTTCCTCATTCTATCACCAACTGGAACTGCTTCTAGGTTATTTCAAATAAGTTCATTTTTTATCCTATCCTTTCTGGTATTCCCACTCATCCATCTCAACATTCACATCTGTTATACTCTTTTTAATGGACATGTTTCTTAGTTGCCCAACACTCACCTCTTTGCAACATAGCTGGCCTAATGGTTGCCTTTATAAAATTTTCCATTTTTCCTTGTACCTGATCTTCATTGAAGGGATAAAATAAAGGGTAGGTGATGGATCTCAATAAGATTCTTAAGTTCCACATGACATCACATGGAATCTGAGTTTCAAATGCAATTAGAACAACTAAGAGATAGAAGCTCAAGAACTATTACTAAAAAGTCTAGGAGCCAGAGAGTGGGAACCTTTTAAAGTCCAATCTTTTCCATAAAATTCAAACTATGGTGACAGGTCCATGAGTAGATTTTGGAATTCCATTTCCTTCTAAGATTTCCTTCCTGGTTTAAACCAATGTTTAGAGACTCGGACCGGACATAGAACTGGAGAAGGGAGAGGTTCATGGGTCAGAGGTTCAACCAGGGCCAAACCATGATGTTGTGGCATATATGTATATATACTATGGGTTATATAATACTATTACTATATATAATATATTTTACAACTTTTAATATACTTAAATATGGTGGATGGGTGGCAAGTCCTTAACTTTTAAAGCAAATGACCAGGGTTCAAGTCTTATAATTTACATTTTCTTTAAAATACGTGTGTAATAAAGTAATATATACAATAAACAGTCATTAAATAGCACAAGTAAAGAGGTGGACTAGTGATAATTAAGCAATATATGGAAATAAGAGGTCATGGATTCAACTCTTTTCAAACTCGTTTTAAAATTTCAAGTATTTAATGGCCTGGGCGATTTCATGAAACCAGCACTGGTTCACTGGTTTTTTGGTTAAACCCGTAGGTCAGCCGGGTTTTTAGCAAATACGGTTATTGGGTGTGACCGCCCAGCCAAGGCCCCTAGTCGTCATTCAACCCGTCCGACCAGTTGGTCCAGTCCGGTTTTCTAAACACTGGTTTCAACAGACTCTTTGGACAATTGTTAAAACTGGACCAGACATTGTCCAACTTTTTTTGCACCTTATGCTCAGAGGAATTTTAAAAAGCCAACCACCCTTCTCTATGTTATAAGTTCACCAAATCCATTTAAGGCCTTTTCCCTGAAGCCTTTTGGGCTGGAAATTGAAAATACTAGAGGGAGAAGTTCTCCCAAAAAGTTACCTTTTGCAGTCTTTTTCGGTTGGTACTTTGAGAGATGAAACTCATCCAAGGAAGCTATCTTTGAGGAAGGTCAGGCCAAGCCCAGCCTGGCCCAGGTTCTGGGACTGAAACATTAGCCTGGGTCTTGGCCTGATTCCAGGCCATACTCATAGTTTTTAAGGTGCCAAGGCAAGGCTAGGTGACAGGGGGGTGCCTTGTCGCCTAGGCAATGGATTTTTTTTAAGTAAAACCATATATCCTAGTGCAGTTCCCTAGGTTCCATAACCATCTTTCCTTAATAATTATCCATAATTTTCATAATAGAAGTATAATTTTCATGTTTTAAGTTTAGGAAATCAACATTTTATGAGAAGAAAAGGAACAAAGGAAAGAAAATTAAAAAAATATAGGGGCTGAACCCCTACTTTTGTTATAGGAAAAGAAGAAAAGAAAATGTGGAAGAAAAAGATCTGTAAGAAGAAAATGTATTGATTAGACAAAATTTTAAGTTTTTCCCTTGCTAATTGGTTCAGGTTCTGAAATCTTTGAGGATTCAATCAAGGATCAAAACTTCAATACGATACACTCCATATTGGGTGTATTGTATTGTATCTTTGGCACCCCAATACACATGTTTACAGGTTTTTTCGGGAACCCATTTTTTAAAATAATATATATATATAAATGAAATTGAAAACCAAAGAAATAAAAAAAATAGGGGGAGTATTGTTATAAGTACTGATACACCTCTGCCGATACACAGAGGTGTATCGATACTTTGAACCATGGGTTCAATACAGCAATTAGCAGTGTTTGTGTTGATTAAACCCTAACAAATAAGAAAATGATAAAAAGAAATTAGTACATAAACACATAAAATGAGTATTCTAGTTTAATAATGCCTATTTTTATAATTATAATGTCAAAAAATTAAAAATATAAAAGTATTTTATAACATAGTGCACAAAACTACTTGGCAACTGGGCGAGGCGAGCCTCCATAGGTGCATTGTCGCCTTGACAACTATGGTCATACTGTATATATTTATATATAAATATAAAATATAACATATATACGTATGTAAAAATTATGTTTAAATAACACACACACACACACACACACACACATATATATATATATATATATATATGCCCAGCCCCTGAAATTTGTGGGCCTGGACGGGCTTTATGTGTTGGGCCGGGCTGGGCTGAAAATGGTCATCCATAATCATCATTCATTCTTGAATGCTGATTAGAAAGGAACTTAGGCAAGTGATCCTTTCCTCTTTTTTTTTTTAGACTATATACAATAAAGTAGCTATATTTCTAGTCGTGAGAAGCATTATGTTGTTCTAATGTATAATTGTATAGCACCAAAAACTTTAGTGGCAATCTTCTTAGATCCGTGTAATATAACCACACTATACCCTTTCTAAATTAAAACTTAAAGGAAAAAAAAAATGAAGGATCCTGTCACTTGGGATAGCTCAATACAGGAAGGATTATATAGTATAAAACTAATCATCTGATCAATTCTGAGAATTCCTGTACAATGGACAATTTAAACTGATCACGAGATTCCTCTGCATGGAAAAAGAAAACCAACTAGGGAGCTTCCCTAATTGACCTGTTAGAGATTGATATCTAACAGGCTAAAAACTAGAATGCTACAAATGCAATGTCCCTGTTAGAGATTGATATCTCAGGCAGTTAGAACTCTGAATATTATAATTTTTAGCCAGCAGATTGTCACCCTCTATTTCAAGGATCTAAAGAAACAAACTAACAACAATAAGCAACCAACATTATGCATAACAGAGTCAGGTATCCATGTTCTCTTCTCTACTAGCTAGTAGCTACATTATTTTCCCAATACATCTAACTACTAAATGTGTGTTGATTAAAGGTGCTTAAAGGCCAATACCCAATGTTGGCCCAAGCTATCTGGGGTCTTGGGAGGGGTAGACTGAATACACAGTCCTAACCTTTTTTTCTTTTTTTTTTTTTTGCACAAAGTGGCCACTCACAGACTCAAACATGTTTTCCTCATGAAACTTGAGATTTTATCATTACACCATGTAATGGCCCCCTGTACAAATTAAAAGTGCTTTATCTTTCAACCAAAAAAAAAAAAAACACAACCTGCCCTTACCATGCAGGGGATCTCTTCTTCTCTCCTTCCTTTGGGTTTTCTCCAACATATCTATCTGAGTTGACTTCATACTTGTAAGTGGGTGGGAAGTCTATCACTCCTTCCTTCCATCCATCAAAAACATGACCAGTGCGAAGTTCTTTAACCAGCTGCCACATCCAACATAATTTTATCAAAATCTTCTTTACAATTAAAATGCATCTCTCAATGATGAATACATAGAGAGATTAGACAAGGAATCAAAGGGCCTCGCTGATTAGAAAAGACTGAGAACATTAATCAAGGATGTTATAATATGACAAAAAAATAATTATGGCTTTGTTCCATTGAGAATATATTCCATAATAGTAGTTTTTAAGTACACATGTACAAATGTACATGCACACCCATCTCTTGACTGCTTTTCCTCATTAACTAATGGGTCCTTTATCTTCCAATGAAAGTCCAAAAACTCAGAAGTATGATGATATTATCCAACAATACCCACTCCAGGATTTTCCAATATCACAAAGATTTTTTTTTTTGGATTATTCTTGGTCAAGGTTTCACAGATATACCCTGCTAAAGACCAATGAGCCACAGGCTTAAAAAGGGACCACAGGTGCACCTGGCAATTTCGGATGGGAAGTGTTCAAATGATTCAGTGAAGTTGCACTTGGCTCAGACAGATATGGACCAGTCTCCCTGATCTCAATACCTTGCTATGTTTTTGGCATAAGAAAGCAAAATGCTGCAAGTCTTACCTGATCATTGTTGATAAGCTCACCCCATTGTTTCTTAGCTACAAGCTTTCTCACCTCAGCATCTGGCATATTTAGGCGATAATTCAAATCTCCAAACCAGAAAATTTGACTGTTCACCATTTATATAACCCATTAGACATTTCTGACCACATGAAAATCCAAATACAATTTACAAGGGAAAATGATCACATGAAAATATGTATACAATTTAGAAGGAAGAAAAGATCCTCAGAGCAATGGAAAATGGATTATTAACCAAACTGGACCCGTTCACTGCACAAATTCTTAAATTGTGGCTTTTTGATTGGTTCTAAACATTTCCCCATGATGTACTTGGTTCTCCTCATAATCTTCATATAAGCATGATTTTCTTTCTTCTTTCTTACTTTCTAACAACATAAGACATGTTCATAGTACAAATATGGAAATATTAATAAAATCCAAATGATTTTCTCCAAATAGAAATAGAACTTCTGAACAAAGATATTCATGTTCACATGCTCATCAAATAATGGCTTCAGAAAAATGGGAATTCTAATTTCAGGAAAGAACTTACTCATGTGATGGAATAGTCAATGGTTGATCAATATCAAAGACAGAGGAAAACTTGGTGCGTCGTAAGATCTCGTACACATCAGAGTTACGCCTCTGTTCATCCCCCTCCTTTTGTCCAGATGTTAGATGTGAGCAAACAAAGCATAGTCGTGATTGGAAAAGAGACATGCTGACAGAAACAGATCCCTGCATTACCAACCATGAAACTTTTATTAGAAATCCCAAATACACAAAAAAGATCTCATTAACAGATGTCTGCATTTTGTAGTATGGAAGGTAGTAGGTCACCTTGTTTCCCATGTAACCCATTAAACCAACTCCAACAGGAGCAACCTTCAAGTTGTTTATATGCCTCCTCAACCTTCTATGAACCCAAACTGATACAAATATTCCCACCATCTGCTTGCTCACAATACGCACATATTTGGAACGGACCTTCACACTTTCTCGCTTGATTCCATTTTCACAATGCACCTTTCCTATTTCCAAAAAAGAATCTTCCTCCTCTTCAGACAAGTCAGTAACATCAGAAAATGACTCAAGGTCTTTAGATTGACCCTGCTGATCAACCCATATCAATCCTAGGTTTCCTGAACTATGGTGCACTCGTTTCAATCCACCACTGAACTCTAAATCTTTAGTTGTGAAAACCAGAGGCTTCTCCATCCAATCAAAACCAATTCTTGCAGAACTGCTGAAGACTCTTCGCAACCCTTTGCTAGAAGAGAAAACTTGTGGTGTCATATCTAATGAACGTTCTGGCCAATCTAGTCTACTGTCATTGTCTATTCCATATATTATTTTTAAGTGGGATTTCATCCCTATACTATTTACTTCATTCAGCTTTTGGCTTTCAAGGTCAGTGCCATCAGCAAGCCCCAAAGGCTCCTTGCTCACTGTCTCTACTTCAGAAGCACATATCTTATCTCGAAGTACATCAGCAGTAGAGGATCTGCACAATACTGGAGAGGGTGGAGCACTATAACTTTTACATTTCGTTTCAGGTTGCAAACACTTGTTGAGAGTTCTGCGAATGATGGTCTCCCATTTTCGAACAGGACTGCTATCCTCTGCTCCTAGCACATTCCCAGCATTTAGAGGCACCACTTCTTGAAAACTACAGAAAGGATTAAAGTTCAACATCAAGAAAACATGAGAAGTTCAACATTCTAATCATCCAATATAAAAATAACCCCATAAATGGAATCTATAATGAAACAGTTATATGACACCATATCCAATTAAGACTTATAAATAAAGGAAAAAAAAAACAGATTTTTTTATTATTTATCCATCCAACAGTAAAAGAATGTCTGAAAAGGCTTGACACCTTCTTAAACAGTACAGTGTTGTCTTATGTCATGTAGGCGCTAATAAGATTTTGAGCAATTAAAAGGATTCGCTAACTTGAGAAAAGGAATTACCCAAGAATATACATATCTGCTGGTTCTTCCATAGAAAGCCAATCTTCTATCTTAAGATCCTCATATGGGAGTTTTCCTGCAACATTCCATGTACCCACCATCACCCTACAAAAGCATATATTTAATCGATGAACTCAGCAAAAACAACACACCAATTTAAGTTCAGAAAAAAGAGCTCCATGCCTTTCAAGAAAAAAACAAAAGAACAAAACAGAAATGACATGGTAATAGAGCCAAACCTAATGTCCTTCCTATTTATGTACTGAACGCGTAGAGTTTCTGACTTTCCTCTCCTATGCTTCGACAGATAACCTTTTGAAGGTATTCCTAGACGGATCAAATGAAAAAAAAAACAGCACAATTAAAAGATGTGGAATAAAATAAGTTCACATTTAAAAGATGTGGATGAATAAGTTGACATATTTTAAGACAGAAGGATAAAAGGAAGTGGAATAAAATAACATGTGTGCATGTAGAAGTTTTAACATCCATGGATGCAAATAAACCACCTTTCCACCTTTGATAATTTGGCCAATACAATCTTTATTGAAATTATTGTGTTGCAAGGAATGACATGAAGAAAAAAAACGTAGAACAAAGAAAGTTATGTATAAGGAAGAGATTGATATAATACTGAAGAGTTGATTTGATAAGTATCTTTACAAGCTTAAAAGCAGTGAGGTAAGCAGGCCTCATCCACACATGAAAAAAGTGGTGAAATAAGAAGTTCACCATTGCCTGAAGCTTGACTTAGGTGTACAGGTTGGTTCCTCTGTATTCTGTGGACCTTATCCCCACCCATATCTTCTTTTGCATCTTTAAGAGAGTAAGCTGGATAAGAATAGGAAAATTAGAAGAAAGACTAAAAATTTTCAATTAACTTTTCCCTGTCAAGTGCAAAACCTTACCATCATCCTCACTTTCAGTTTCAGTATCAACCTCATCTTCACTGAATTCATGCACCTTGGGCATAATATTTAACCATTTCTTCATTACAATGGATCGCCAAAAGGACTGCATAGATGCAAAGTTGTTCAATTAGAGAAAGAACAGTCATAAATTTGATCACAAATTAAAATACAGTCAATCAAAAGGTATCAAAGCACATGGTACAAACCTCAGAACACTTGCCTCTTCTTGCTTTCATTGTCTATCAATCAAAATTCAGAACTATTGAAGAAAACAACTAAGGCAGAAGACACTGTTCAGAATTTACAAAGGTATCTAGTAGTCACTGATCTTGCAGTCAAATTGAACAATTGACAAGCTTCTTAACAGTTAGGCTTGTTCAATGCTCAAGAGAGGGGATTTTTAGTACGGCCAAATAGATAGGACAGAAAAGTGTGGTCAAGTTGAAGAAAATAACATCCACAACCTCAAGTTGAAAGAGCAATCAATGGTCCTCACAAAACATCATTTTTCTAACTTTAAAAATAGAACCGACTGTAAGAAAATAACAACAACAACAACAACAACAATAAGAATCCAAAGGTCTCTTTCAGTATAGGAAAACTTGCACCGTTTGGTGTTGTAGGCACTACTTCAGCTAAGCAGGGTGGATAGGATGAACTATTGAGAGAGTTGATAGAAAAGAAATTGAACCACCTCCACAATTCACCCAAGACAAGAGGAGGTAAAGCCATCTCTCAAGGAGGACAAAAATCCAAGTCATTCATTATAAAATGCATTACCATAGTACCTAATTCCAATTTAGGCAACTCCCCTTTGGCACGCTATCCCCACCATGAATACAAATGCAAGATTATATGCCCAGAACCCTTTTTAGATAACCACAAAAGATTGGTTAACATTAGAAACCAAGACATCCCCTAATAAACAAATTATGATACCATTTATCCTATATTAACCAAGATTGCTATGACCCACCAACATAAATACCAAGAAACGCGGAACCTGAAACCCCTACATAAAATAAGGAAAAAAAATAGCTTTTGAAACTATAATGATGGGTTGGAGTCAAAGGGACGGCTGGAACATAAATTAAAATACTATATTGTTTTTCACCAGAGAGCGGTGTCCAGGAAGCTACAGCACTGCATTTCTCTTCTGCAAGAAAAAATAGTAACAAAAACACAAATGGAGAGGAAGGTAGTAATAAAACGACACACCATGAAATAATTTAATAGGGACAACAGAGACGAAACCATTACTTACTTCGGATAGAAGGGTGAGCAGAGTGTGGACCCTGCGCATTACAAGTGCTGACGAATTCCAACCATAAAATACTTGGTTCGAGGTTGATTCGAAGGTGACTTCAATAACAGCCATGAAAATAGAATAACGTAATGAAAAGTCGGCTTGTCAGAATTTTTTTCATAGACGATTCTTCTATTTTCTTCATTTTTTATCAATCATGAGTTCATTTAATTTAGCAAACGATGATTTGTACTTAGCTGTCTCTTCTGAAGATGGATGTTGACTTTGATTTTAGTTAGCAAGTAATAAGTATATATAAGAACGAAAAGCAAAAAGACCGGTGGACTCTGGAGACAAATTTAGATTCAGTGAGAGCGAGAGGTAAAGTAATGACGCTTCATGGGTGTTAATGGAGCGCGGTATTACATATAGGAACTTTCCAACTACCACTCAAAGTCTAATTAATATAAATATAGATTTTTGAAAGCTGAAAGAAAAGCGGAAAGAAAGATATTTTTCTTTCTCCCCACAGGCAAGTAAGCGAGCTTTACTTGAAAATCCAATACGTCTTCAAATTGTTCGGTCTTGATCGATTGCAAAGGAGGAAAAGTAATTCAAGAAGATAAAAGTAAGCTTTTCATCTAATTCACCAGAATTTTCATTGACGAGAAATGATTTTATACCAGCATCAGAAAAGAAAAAGCAGAATTAAAGTCAGATGGTCACCTAAAATCAATTCATAAAAGGACAGGCAATCAAAAGAAATAGTCAAAATCACACAATTTTCCTTTTCTGTTAGAAATTTAAGGAATTTCACATGAAAAATGAAAAAGAGAAAAAGAAGAGTGGTAAAGTTTCAGATCCGCCAAGCCAAAAAAGGATGAATATAACATTTGAAAGAGAAGTCACCTGCGTGTCCCTAATTTTCCTAAAACTACCAAATCTCAATCTTGGAAAAGAAAAAAGATTCGTCCTCAGTAACAAAACACAAATACAGGAAATCCAGGTTAATCAAGAAAGAACAAAACAGATAAGATCATCGCTGTTTCCCTAGCGTGTTCAAAGAAGCTTCGAATGCACTACCGGAACAAAATGCACCATATTTAACCATAAGAAAACTAACCCAAAAATCCTGAAAGAAGAAAAGAAAGATCACGGAATCAAAGAAACCCCTAACAAAGACATCGCTTTCAATTATCTGGATCGCACTGTTGGGAACCAGAGCAGACTGCGGAGTCAGCATTCAGCAAGCTATAGATTAGCTTCGAAAACGTGTGGGAATGATTCGATTTCGAGCGATTCGGCAAGGCTGAAATAGACGTCCACTCAGAACCAACTTGTCTCTCTCTACACCAGTCTACGTCCAAGGGAACAACATAGGGAGGTAAGGACGCTCCGCGAATGTGAGCTCTCGTTGCTTTCTATCCGTTAAAGATATGAAAAGAGAAAGGAATGTATATTCATTTCTCCCGCCTTTTTCCAGTTTAGCCACGTGTAAAGTTTTTCTACGTAAAAGTAGAATAAGAGTTTTTTGATACGTGGCTGATGAATATTGGTTTGAAACTTATAGAACCCAGTTTCTCTCTAGTCCCACACTCCCACTGTATTAATACTTAATATTAATAGGCCGATGAATATTGGCTTGAAACTTGCCACGTGGCTGATGAATATTCGTTTGAAACTTGCCAGATGGAAAGTGGGATGTTCATCAGATGGAAAGATATCTTGAATTCTTGGAATTCTTGATCAAAGTGAGAATCTATTGCAATCTTTGACTGAAATAGAACCCAGTTCTCTCTACTCCCACTGTATTAATAGGCTACTGTGTCTGCTAGACAAGTTGTGGCAGAGATAGGTTTTTCATGGCTTCATGTACACAAGCAAGGTACCATCTCAAATGCGCTCCATGTGTTTGCCATATTGCTCTATCTTCAGGTGCATTTGGCAAAAGAAGATGATCTTTTGTTGCAACCAATTTGTGCTAAGCTTCTGTGGCTGCTATCACACTTACCTTTAAAAGAAAAAGGGAGGGTGAGGGGTCAGGTTGCTATTAAAGTGAAGAAGAAAGGCTCACTCCAAAACTTCAAAAGTGGGGCATCTCTTAAATCACTTATCTCTAGGAAGATTTGATTCACAATGATCACATGTCTTTCCTTCTAACACCTTTTACACAGAATTGGAATCCAGAAGCGCCAATGCCCTACTTTGAACTGGCATCTATCCCTGCTTACACCAATTTAATATCACATGCATTCATCCTTGTTGAATGCAACACCAAATTTGCAAAAATAGCGCCATGAGGGCGTCACATCAGAAAAAAGCGATGCTTCAGAAAATGGCCTCTTATTTGGTACCGTTTTTTCATAAAAAAACATTGCTTCAGACCATGCTTTGGAAATTAGGAAAGTGTGGTCTGAAGCAATGCCAAATTTGATGTTTTCTCAGAAAAAAGCCCGTTGCTGCCAGTGGTGCAATGATGTGGCATCAATGTGACATCATCTTGGATGTTGGATATGACAAATGCTGAAAGCGGTTCAACAGCATTGGTACCAAACAAAACCAGTGCTGCCTATGTAGCAGCACTGCTTCCAAACAAAAAACGGTGCTTACAACCCAGACATGCCCAGCACCGACGCCAAACACCTACTTAGTGGACCATTTCCGAAAAAAATTGGTTCCTCCATGTGCATAGAGAGGACATCACATCGGGGGCAGTCAGATCATGGACAATTTCGACTTTGCAGTCTTTTGTTTGCTTATACTTTCATTGAGAATAAAGTTGATGTTAAAAATGAGAAAGAAGCATAAAATGAAAGGTGCAGAATCAAAGAACAAAAATTTTATTATTCCTGAAAGGCAGAAACAAAGTACTACAGCTGCCCAATTTAATAAAATAAATGCATCTTTTTGACTTGTTTAGAAATCAGAACAAGAAACCATGAATAGAGATTTACAAACAAACCATGATACAAGAGAAAAACAAAACACAAAATGTACAAAATAATTCCCCTTGTATCAATTAATGCTACAATAGGCTGCTTGGAAATCATCCTTTTTCCATCTCTATAGCATAGTGTGGAACTGATTCGCACATCTACCTTCACCAGTAGTCTCTGCAAGAACAAAAACCATCCTTAAAGTGGTGAAAACGACTGCGATCTCTGATGATTATAAGCCGATGGAAAACCTTTGATATAAACTTCATTGCAGAATGACAATCTTCACAAACCCTTAGGTTCTTAACAATGTGAAGCACAGCCCCTTGCTTTGTGTTGATCAATCCAAAAGCAACTGCCAATTTCTCACTATGTTGTGATAGGGCCAGCTTTTTTTCCTCCTCATCTATATCCAAGGCAATTCCTCGAGTAGCTGGTACATGTCCTTGGAGGCTGAGAAGTGTGGCAATCTCATCCAACATCATATGAATTTGGTTGATCTGTGGGTGAGAACGGTCTCCAGCTATAAATTCATGAACATCACCATTTAACTCAATCAAACTAGACCCTGGTGGCTTCCTAATCCCTTGTTCTTTCATCGAGCTCCTCACCTGTTCAACTTCAGACCACCTGCCAGTGGAGGCATATACATTGGACAAGAATACATGGGCACCACAATGGTGAGGATCCAACTTGAGCATCTCTTTTGCTACCAATTCTCCCATCGCCACATTGTTGTGAGATCTGCAAGCAACAAGAAGAGCACCCCACAAAACAGCATCTGGTTTTAATGGAATTCTTCTAATCAAACCCAATGCCTCCTCGAGACACCCAGAACGACCCAGAAGATCCACAATGCAACCATAATGCTCGATTGTAGGTTCTACACTGTACACCTTACCCATTTTATCTAGAATTTGCAACCCCTCCTCCACCATGCCTGCATGACTGCAGGCGCACAGGACACCAGTGAAGGTAACTGAATCCGGATTAATTCCGAACCTTTGCATTTCTGAGAAGAGCTCAAGAGCTTCATATGCAAGGCCATGAACGGCAAGCCCGCCAATCATCACACTCCAAGTTCTCACATCCTTCTCAGGCATCCGCTCAAACAGATGCATTGCAACATCGATGCTCCCACACTTTGCATACATATCAATGAGTGCCGTCCCAAGGCTCGCACTTAGTTTGACATGATTCTTGTCAATGTAAGCATGAACCCACCTACCCATATCCAATGCCCCCAGTTGAGTGCACGCCAAAGCTACACCAAGTAGCGTAATTTCATCAGCCCTAACATCTCTCCTATCTTGCATCAGCCTAAACACACGGATTGCATCCAAGTACCGGTTACTCCTAACATACCCCTTTATAAGAGCATTCCACGAAGTAACATCTCTTTCAGGGCATCGATCAAACAACAGTCGTGCAGTCTCTATGGACCCACAGGAAGCATAGAAGTTAACCAGTGAAGTTTGGATAAAGGCATCGGAATCCTCAAACCCACACTTGATTACGGTCCCATGAACCCCTAGCCCTAGGTTGAGATCCATCAGATGCGTACATGCCTTGAGAACAAAGGGGAAGGTGTAGTTATTGGGCAAGTGCCTTTGCTCAAGCATCTTCCGGTACAAGAATATTGCTTCTATAGGGTTGGGACTATGCGCATAGCCCCTGATCATGGAATTCCACATGAATGTGTTGGGAGGATACTCGAGAGTGGCCATAACTGATCGAGCATATTCGAGGTTTGAAGGATTTGAGACAGCAATATCCGCAATGAGCTTCCCAGCCGTTAGAACATCTTGAATTCCAGAATTCCTAATCAACTTGGCATGAATTTGTTTCAGATGGTTAATATTTGAAGAAGAAAAAGAAGATAACCCTCTGCGCGTTAGGAGAGAAATGTTTGGATTTGAATTCCCGGAAATATTAACGGCTACTAACCGAAGGCGCATAGCTTGGCGCGGAATGAACCAACAGCGAGAGAGAGGGCTTCTGCGTTTAGAGTGCATTGTGTTAATTGAGCATTTGAGCTGGGGAAAATTCCCGATTAGTATCTCGTAATTTACGCTAGTGACACTTTCGTGCTTGAATTTTAAAATGTGATAATTTAGTACTTCAAATCCAGTACCTGTCGTTAATTAATCTGTTAATCAACCATTAAGTAGCATTTGAAAAGACAAAAATATCCTTCAAGTGTCATCTAATTCTCTTTATCAACCATCCAAACATTAATACTTGATAAAAAATGAATAATCCCAAATTTTTGCCTCTTTTATTCAAGAAAGTTGTGGTCACATCTTAGTTCTTCAATGGAAGAGACAAGGATATTTTGGGATTGTTCATTTTTTATCAATGTTTAGATGGTTGATAAAGAGAATTAGATGACACTAGAAGGGCATTTTTGTCTTTTCAAATGCCACTTAATGGCTGGTTAATGGCAGATACTGGATTGACACACTTTAAAAATTCGGGTATTGAATTGTCGCATTTTAAAGTTTAGGAGACCAAAGTGGCACTAGACCCAAAGTAAAGGGTACTAATTGAGAATTTTCCCTTTGAGCTATAGTGGTGAAGCACCGTGTTTTGGAGAAGCTACATAAAGTAATTTTGGGCATTTGGAAAGCCTATATTAGCTTTCTGGAATTTTAACAAACATAGGCCATTGTCACGGGGTTAGGTTTGTAAGGAAGAAACACATGCGACATTCGGGCCATGTGCGGCCAGGACAAGCTTGATGTGTGCATAAGGGCCATGTGTTGGCCCAATGATGGCTCCACCAAGGTTAATGGCATTGGACCATGACCTCACAGCACATGGCCGAGGCTATCCGTGGCTCTTGCTGGTCTATGGGAGGCACCTCTTACGTGCTAAAAGGGGATCGCCATGATGAAAGGCATATTTGTGCCAATGATGTGAGGCACCTATTGTGTCAATGATAAAAAGCAACTATTGGGCCTGAGCACACCCATGCACTGTAGGCAATGGAGTAGCTCGATCAACTTAAGCATGGGACCGGCGAGGTGTTGGGACATGCTTGGGTCAAACCCACATGGAAAGCATCCCTTCAATGGGTCCATGCACTGTCCCCATGGGCATGTGTGAGTGCACATGAGGAACCCTGATAGCTATGCTAACCATTAACTAGGGCCGCCCTACAAGGGGATGTTGGTCTAGAAGTGTCAAGGTCAAGCACCCAAGGAGGTTGACCACCCCTCCTTATATGGACATTGAATATGGGCTTACATGAGTTGAGATATCAACTTATTTTTGGCTTGAAACCTATCAAACAAACAATAGGGATCTTCTACGGTCTGAAAAATATTCTCAATGTGCAGTTGGATGTTGTGTGCAAAGAATTTGCTTACAACGAATCCGTACTCATGTTCCCCAAACAAGTCATAATTGAACTATTTTCATTGAGCCACTTGGAAGAAGATACTAACAAGCTTGACTCAAAAACCAATCTTTTGGATGAATGAAAACAAAATGTATGTGTTTGATTCCAAGGGCATTTATAATGTGGTGTTTATTGCTTTAAGGTTGTGTTTGGTTTGTAGGAATGTTTTGGTGGGATGGGATGGGTTGGAAAAGTGAATGAGCGGAGAATTTTAATGTTCCATTGTTTGGTCGCAAAAGGGAAAATAATGGAAAAATCAACCCTAGTAACAATTATTAATTAATTAATTAGTAATATTTTGTTATTTTATATTTTATTATTATTAATTATTAATTATAAATATTTTAATGAAATAAATTTTATAATTACTTAATATTGATAATTATCTAATTAATTATTAAATAAAATTTAATATTTTAAAATCTCTTTTATTAATATTTACTATGAATTAATTAATAATTTTATTTGTATTGTTCATTATCTAACATTTTTATTACTTAATTATTTTTATTGAATAATTAATTACATTAATAATAAAATCCTTATTTATTTATTCATTAATTACATAGTAAACTAATTATTAATTATTTAATAATATTTTTTTATTATTTAGTATTTTATTATTAGTTATATATTAATTATTTAAAATCCACTATTAGTTGATTAATTATTTTAATTAATTAACATTATACATTTTATTAGTTTATAAGTTATTATTAATATTATAGTTTATTAATCACCACGACTTAATTAATAATTTTAACATATTTGTTCATAAATTGTTAAATTATTTTTCATTGATAAATTATTCCCTTTTATTTATTTTAATTAAATTATGAATTATAAAACAATTAATTAATTAGTAAATTTAATAATTATAAAATATTATTAATTAATTAATCATATTTTTATGATTTAGCATTTTATTATTAATATTTTTATGTCTTAATTAATAATTTTAATATTTAATTATTAAAAATAATTAATTATTAACTTATTTATTGATTAATATTTTTATTAATCATTTATTTTAATTAATTTATTAAAATTTTAATTAAATTATTTTATTAGTATATTATTAAATAATTATTAATTTATATATGGGTCATGGATCTAGTATTAACTCTTAGAAATACTACATCAAAGTTGATTTTTTTGTTAAACAAGTTTCCCCCTACATTCCCATTTGTTTCCCACCAAAATGGTAAGACTCCACATCCCAAGAATTGGAATCTATAATCCCATATTTTTTCCATCCCATAAACCAAACATGGGAAAGAAGGAATATTCTAGAATATTTCATATTTTCCCTTCCCACCCCAAAAACCAAAAACCAAACCAAACCAAACCAACCTGCACTGATGTGGTGGAATTTTTTTAATAAATGCCCACGCAATCCAAACATAACCAATAACTTTTTGGGTTTTTCACCTAAGATAACTTTTAAACCATACACGTAGAGCCTACATATCTCGCAAAGTCGCAAAGCCAGAAACGAGTGCGTGAAAGACCTCCCAAACGGGCGAATGCGGATGGGTAGACTGTAGAGTACTAACTACTAAATCTTGGGGATCCTCTGTGTGAGTCTGGACCACCGACCAGAATACCTAACTCATATCCATTACACAGGAAGGAGAGAACAATTTTGTGGCGTATGGAAGAGGATTCAGAAAAAGATGAGGCTGGAAATTGACTCTAAAAAGTCACCATAAAGCCAATGTCCCAATAGTACTCATGGGTGGGTGGGAGCATAAGTTTCATGGTCGAGGACGCTTATTTATCAACCTCTCTCTCTCTCCAAGGTAGCCAAGCAGTTGATATCATTGATGAAGTGGGGGCATCAACCTACTACTAGGCAGTAGCTAAAGGGTGTAAAGAACTAAAGATTAGATGCCAATCTTGTATGAGGTATCCATTGCCCTGACAGTATCTCATGCCATTTCAGCTTTTCAGGGTTCAGACAACCATGGTGGATGGTGCTTCATCATGTTATTGTCTCTATAAATATACTCTATTTCTGTTCTCGATCGAATTGGCCAACTTCGGTTAACATCATCAATTTCATCTTAACATATGTTATTATTTACTCTAATCTGATAACTTTATGCAACAAAAAACAATTCGAATTGCTGGGATTTGGAAACCAGCTTATACTCGATATGGAAGCATGACTCGACTGCCTTTGCTCTCTTTAACAATAACTAGCAACTAGCAAGAAAACCCACGTAATGCAAGAGCATGGACAATTAGAAATGGGGTTAGCTTTGGGTATTGACATTGTTTGGGTCCAGATTAGGGTCTATAATGATGATGATGATGATGTTATCAAAACCCATGTAACATAGATAATTAATCTTTTTCTTTCCTTTTTCTTTTTTTTTTTTTTTTGTTTCAAGGGCTATATAATAGGGGGCAACCCATAAAAGCTAGAGACCTTACTAACTAAGCGATCATTAGTTGGTAAAGATGAATAACCAAACATGCTGTATTGATGGATTTATTGTCTTTCAAGTTTCAACCCTAAAGACCTGGTTTCAAATCTTCTAACTTGTGTTTATGTCAATGTTTTCATTTTGTAGTTTTAGACAATCAAATTGATGATTTGTCACAAAGACAAATTTCTGATATGCTTGAACTCAAATCACTTTGTTGCAAAAAAAAATATATAAATAAATAATCATTGGACTAGTCAACAATTAGATGACCTTATTGATTGAATCATTGACCTATTTGATCAAGTCAAGGGATCATAGATAAGACATTAGTTTTCGTTTTTCTTGTACTTTGGCCATTTCCATCATTAATAACAGTGATTTTCATTTTTACACATATTTTACTTAAATATGATGAATATAGAATGTTAAATACATGCTTAAATTTTCTATATTTTTATTTTTATTATTTAATTCATGACATCACATATCAATTTGTCTAGTTGAGAGGAAAATGTGGTCCTAATCAATTTTTAGCATTTTTTTGTCAACGTTTTATATCTCATAGTCAAGTCAGATTGGTTGACTTATCACATGATTAGGGTTTTGGGTCCATTTACCACCAAGATGAATGTTTACAAAACAAAAACCATTAACTTAGTCAACAACATGGTTACTTAGCTAATTGAACCTCTTGACCTTGTAGTGGGGTCATGGATTAGATATTACTTCTTTTTCTTATTTTTTGTATTCCATTTTTATCGATAATAAAAATAATTTTTATTTATCACAATGTTAATACAATAAATATATAATATTAGAGATGAGACCATATTTTCAACAAAATTTCCATATTTCTTATAACTTATTGTATGCTTGTTTATTTTCTAAATTTTTATTATTTAGCTAGGACATATGGATCAACCCATTTGACCTAGATGATTGAAATGCTAACCCGCCACATCAATGGAAAGGTCGTTTTACTTTTGGATCAATTTTAAATTTTGTATTGCTTTTCCAACATTAGTAAAACCATCTTATTTTTTTCACTTATTTTGTTTAGAAGGATGAATATGATGTGCTCACCTTTTTCTACAAAAATTTTCAAGTTCTTCATATTTTTGTGTTTCTATCCTTTTTTTAAATATTTATTATTTCATTTTGACATCATGGATTAACCCATTTGATCTAGAAGGTTGGACCAAAATTTTCTTTACTGTTTATGTTTTTATCTATTTTAAAAAGTTAGTATCTAATTATTGGCATCATGGCTTAATATGTTTGATGCAAACTTACCATCCTAAAAAACAATTTCATTTTTGAATTAGTTTTAAAATCACAGGTTTTTATACTTTTTATAAATATTGTTCATAAATTTAATTAGTGAAATTTAACGTTAAAAACTAAGATACCTAGACTTAATGAGAGAAATAGATAGAACCAAAAGGGATTACGGATTCATGAGGAAACAAGGGATTTAATGGGAGGGGAGACATTACAAAGATTAACTATAGGAGAGAGGTTTTCAAGAATGATATTATTGGAGAAAGTAATAATTTAATTTAAAAATAAATAACCATACGTGTGAAATTTAAAGAGGTCAAAATGAGCATTGAGATTAAAGGACTCTTGGCGTTGATAGGTTGACCCGGAAAGCATCCCTTACATTGTATATTCAGGAGATTATAGCTACAATCATCCCCATCTAAGAACAGCTGCCTTCTTTCTTTTAGGTGAGGGTAGGTGTTAAAGGGGAAATAACCTGCCATTCATAGATTCGTTTTCAGCACTCGAGTTAGGTCATTATTGATTCACCATGAGAACAATTGATAATACTACTTTTCCCATCTCTAGCTGCCTAGCTAGAAATTATTTCTGTGAGACGATCTCCTGAAAGCAAAAAACGTGTACACACCCTATGAGCATGGAATCCAACCGTACATAAAGAATATCTTCCCATGAATTCAACTTATAGGTGGCAGACATTCCAGATATGCAGCTGGATGCCATGCTCTTAATCCATCAAAAAAAGGGTAAGGGTTAAGATTTCCTTCCCAGTCCCAGCACGCCAACATTGCCATCATAGTTGTTTATTTGATCACAACAAGGCCAACAACATATAGTGGTGCAAATAGAGCAACATCTCCCCTCTTTCTACACCTCGATCAAATCCTACAATGATACATGAGATGCATTCACCAATTTCCATGAAATCAGCTCCAGTGTATTTGGGAGAAACAGAGTACTCCATGCAATCAAGGACTACTTGGCAGAAATCTAATAGCAACCAAGGACTATTCATCCACTCATTACATGTGTTCCATCGACTCTAATACAGCCATATTTTCCAATCAATAGGCCATCTCTTGCAAGACAAAGGTCCACATACAACATGACCTAGTTAAACACATTCAAATAATGCTAACAAATTTAAATACAAACCTTGCTGATAGAGGCTAAACCCCTGACCAAACCATATTAGACTAAATACAACTCAATATAACTGATAGTCAACCATTACTTGTATGATTATGTTGCCAAGTCTTAAGTGCCATCATCCGATTCTCCTGGTGTACTAGGATAACTTGTCAACACATTTTGATTTTTGACTAAAACGGGAATTTGCAGCATCACCAATTTGCCATATCAGACGTGAAGAAGTTATGAGAAGAAATGTTCTGCAGAAGATACCAATGAGAAAAAAGAGGTCCTGAAAATTTTGTATTCTACACAAGCCAGGGAAAGGATGGGAAAAGAAAGATAACTTCAACAAGTCTGAAAATTGCACACCAATGTCCATCAAAACCCGTTTCACAGAATCACTTTCCTTGAATTCAAGACAAACTAGGACGACGCGTAATGAATCACATAATGGTGCAACGACTCCTTTCCTCTGCTGGCTGTACTGGCCCTTGCTGAAATCTGTTTGACTCGGAAGGGTTGTACGTGAACTCTGATGTATCAAGGCCATACTGGTTATATGCACAAGAGAGAACACAGAATATCAAGGTAAGAGTAATAGAAGCATGTGCACCCTTGTTTTGACATACTAAACAAGTATTGTCAACAATCAATTGTATCAAGATGGTTTTTTTTCTTTTTTTTTAACAACAGAAACTTTCATTAATTAAAAGGATATGGAAAAGAGTATCAAGATGGTATTTATCAACTCCAACAGCTTGTAAAGTCGGTTTCCTTTTTCTTTTCTTTTTCCCTATTTATTTTTGGTAGATGAAGGAGTGGCACCAGCTGATACCTAAAATCAGTCAACCAGATGCCTTCCTCCAGTAACACCATAGGGCCCTCTTTACAGAAAAGTCTCTGAAGACTATTTTATTACTTATGGAAGAAAGAAATGGAACTAGGATGAATCATACCTTTTCCCTCATCCGTGTGCTCCAGGCATCATTCCTGCTTGGGCGCTGATCAAGGGCACAAGCCACTGGCACTCCTGTAGCAGGAACCCCTTGCCTGTTTATCAATGGTTGCCGGACTGTGGACCTTGGAGCAATGTACTCGTCATCACTGTCATAGTCTGCTGGTCGATTTGCTGCCCTTACCACAAGAGCCAACAAAAACAACAACGCCTGCAGTTTCACAGATAGTAAAATATTGATCAAGTAAACACTGTTTCTTAATCACTATCTGAGGACTACAGAGTTAGACTTTAGCATACAATTGAGCATATCATGTTCAGGGAAATAACTGGGTTATTAATGGGAATGAGTATGAACCATCATCACTTGAAAAGATGGATCAGATGTTCCAGTTCATCAGTTTGAGTGCAACAAAATAAAAGATAAAAAAAATGGCATCTGAGGACTGCAGAAAAAGGTCCCAATTCACTGACTGGATGATTGGACTTGAGAATACCTAGTGGGACAAAGAAGGTGACATTATTATAGAATATTTTCCCCATGAATGAGATTTAGGGCAGAAAATACAAAGCATAATAAATATAATGTCTCAAAATTTTATTTGTACAATATATTTTTTTTATGAGAAGTAAAGTATCCATTCATTCAAAAGAGAAATAACAAAAGTACAACCTGAGGCTGTACAAAAGAGAAATCTTAGGAAGCTCATCTATAATATATATATTTGTACTATATATAGTACTTGGTCCAATGGTAAAATCTTAGGATGCTTATATATATATATATATATATATATATAACAAGGTGGTCCAGGTCAGAAGGCCTCTCCTTGCTCCAAACCCCCCTCCCTTCCTAATTTCCTGTGCTTTTGAATTTTCTATTTTTTTATTCCACATAATTTGTAAGAAAACCAATCAAAGGCGAGAATCCACCCTCCCACCAGGTCTTGAGGGAAAGAGCCCAGAACGAGGGAGGGAAACCCTAATATTCCCCTTTCTTGTTTTGGGCAAAATCCTAGAATGCTCTGTGTCTCTGTATGTTTTAAGGATTCAAGGAGTCAGCGTGATTTCTAAGGCTACATGAGAGGTATCAAGGTCAATGGATCTATGGTCTTTGTGCAGCTGTCAAAGATGAGATCGTCAGATTGGAGATGCTGATTAGTACTGAAGAAGCCTTCTATCAACTCCACCTTTGAACCCTACAGAGCATCTAATTTCCACCATGAGACAGCTTCTTCTCAGAATCTGGGACTCTCCAAGAGCCCTAAGGTTGATGCCAAGTAGTCCTCTAAGGAAGGAAGGCGACGTGCTGGTTAAATCAAAGCACATTACATAGGTAAAAAGGAAAAATAGAGAAATTAAACAATTGCAGCAACATTTAGCTTACTTCATGTTAGGATCTCCTTTTGTTTTGGGGTTTTCCCTGATACTTGATATGTATCAGGTTTTGGCCTTCCTCTTAGAAGGAGCCTGCCCTCCTGTTCTGCATCATTCTGTCTGTTCATGTGCTGACCTCTTCTACAATGGCAGCTTCCTATTTGTTAATGTTCTGGTGAAGTTTTCGAATATATTAGTTCTTTTGTTCTATTGGATATAGGGATTCTCTATTACTTGAATTTGAATTTTGACTTTTTATTTTAGTTTTTATTTTTTGTAGTTTTTCTCACTTATTTTTCCTTTATGATTCATGGATGAGTTTAGGATGATAGTGTTTGAGTTTTGAACCCTAGGTTTTATTGGAAATTACAATTGGGTTGTTTTGGTTTATGCTTTGTTTAGCATGAGTTCGATGCAACTTTTGGTTTTATGCTTTGTTTAATTGTTTATTTATATTGTGATATTGTGATTTTTATCCATCTGAGTTTATTTTGGTGTTTGTCTTATTATAATACATATTTGAGGTCGTTGAGATCATTAACATGTTTAGTATAGGCAACCAAGCTCAATATTATATCATTGTTGTTTGGATAAAAATTAAATGTCATTACATATGTGTGTTTTTCTAAGTAATTAGATATATTTGGCCATATATTTTATTAGTTAGATTACTTAGAATTTATCCTTTTCCAAGTCTATATTCATGTTTCTCTTGCAAGGTATATTGTTTTAGCACACCCAAGAAATTGCATATTATACTGTTTGTTATTTATTTTTTTTCCTAAAAGAAGTAGAATTTTTTAGTATATACTAATGAACCCGTTTGCTTTATTTTTTCTGTTTTGAGTATATACCAATGAACCCATTTGTCTATGTTTTCCTTCAAGGCATATTTCACTTGAAGTTTGATGCAGTGGGAACAGTGATGAGGACTTTTCTTTGTTTCCGCATAGGCAGGCAAGGTATAAAATTTGGGATGAATCCAAGTATTTGAGCATATGCTAATGAATCTCCACTACAGGTTAAATTGTCTTTGGATTTATTACGTGTTTTCCCCTTCCATAGTTTTTTATTTTTTTGGGTTTCTTAGTAAAACTTTGGTGTATATATATTGTCACTTTGGTTCATTTGGGAATTTACATTATTTTACGGCAGAGAAGCAAGTTATCATGAAGGGGCTTTAAGGTGAAAATCCTACTCTAATTTACAGCATAGGACAAAACCAATAGAGGGGCTAAAGGTCAGTTTTCTACTGGTGATTTACAGAGAAAAATCAAGGGAATTGGGATGTCTTTAGGTTTATTATAAGATTGATGACAGCCTCACCAATCACCCTTTTTTTTATGAGTAATAGTATAATTTTATTAATTCTGAAACTGAATTAGAATTGTGGTTTCATACAACACCCCACGGAGAGGCGCAAGCCACAGCCCCTCCTAGAAGCTTACAAGTAAGTAAACTGGGAATAAATTACAGAAATCACAGCTGAGCACAAAACAGTTCTTCTCTATTTAGGTTTATTATAAGATTGATGACAACCTCACCAATCACCTTTTTTTATGAGTAATAGTATAATTTTATTAATTCAGAAACTGAGTTAAAATTGTGATTTCATACAACATCCCACGGAGAGGCGTAAGCCACAGTCCCTCCTAGAAGCTTACAAGTAAACTAGGAGTAAATTACAGAAATCACAGCTGAGCACAAAACAGTTCTTCTCTATTTACCCCTTGCTTGGATAACACATCAGCCAAAGTATTTTCTATCTCCCCACCCACTGTATAGAAACCAACATATTCCTTGTCAACCAAYTAAATTTCTTCATTTCATTCTTATATAGCACCCTCAGGCTTTTTCAACCAGCCCACCACCAGGTCCACCACCTTGGAATCCCCTTCAATTATCAAATGCTCTACCCCTGACTGATTTGCAAATTGCACCCCTTGTACAGCAGCTAATAGCTCTGCCCTGATAGAGTCTCCGAATCCTAAAGAACCTGAGTAAAGCAAAACAATCTCTCCACTATCGTTCCTCAAAACACCCCCCCGCTTCCAGATAATCCTGGGTTACCCATGCTACTTCCATCAACGTTCAGCTTCAGTGAGCCTTCAGACAGAGGAGACCACCTTGTAATTATCTTGTTCATAAAGGATGAACACCTCGCTACTGCTGACCAGTTTCTCCAAAAGTCATTAGATGAGAATTGATGAAAATTTTATTTATAGCTTGACTAATGATTTATATCAGTAAGCTGGTAGCCCAACTTATTTCTAGCTTGACTAATGATTTCATGGATCCTTTATTTGACCTTCCTTCTAAAGCTCCCTCATTTTTTAAATATTTTCTTTTGCATTTTCAGTAATTCCTCTTATTACATTGAAAAGGCAACGGTCACATGGGAGTTCTTAATTATGGTTACTTCTAAACTAAAATTTATCAAGAGTCAATAGGGTAGGAAAGTAAAGAAAGAAACAAAAAGGACTTAGTCATGTTAGGCACAATTTCAAGTGACATTCACTTAAAATAGCATGCTAAGATGGTATAAAAGCAATTGATACTTTCTTAGAGTTATCACTTTGACTCTTCCATGTTCTAATTTTGTCTATCTGTAGGTACTTAGGGGTGAACAGAACCGTGCAAGGATATGATAGAGGCGAAGACATTGAATGGGTGGTGATGGTTTCAAACTTTTTTGTTTATCACATAAAAATCTCACTATTTTTTAATATATTTATTTATTTATGCAGGCTTGTCAGGGCCTCTAACAAATGGTCTCCCTCATTTCAACCACAGGAACGGATTCTTTTTTTTTTCCTCCTAAATTCCCATAAGAAAGGGAAGTTTCAGCATGCCCATGTTTTACTGTCCATTAATTTCTAATTTTACTGAACACAAATTTTTTGTCACTAAATTACCAATAAATTAACAATTATTCATTTTTTATCAGAAACGATGTTATTCAATTTTTTTATTCATTACCAATTAATAAAATTAACCAATTTTTGGATTTTCCCATGCATCACATGGGGCCCCGGTAGTTAGAAAAATGGTAAGGTGCAAGTCTGAGAGCTGACACTTTGTGCAAAATGTCAAAAGGTTAGGTCTGCCTTCAGTCCACCCCTCCCAAGACCGTAGGTGGTTGGGATCAACATTGGGTAATGGTCCTTTTAGTATATTCTTTAATCAGTTCTTTATAAATATACCTAATACCTCCCTTAGATAAAAAAGAGAGTTTAACTCCAATATTTAGTGGACAACAAACTTCTCGATACCAGTTATATTCTCAAGTATTTATAATTTCCCTCCCTCCCTCTGTCTTGTTCATTTATTATTGCCATGGAATCAGTATTAAGATGATTTTTTGGGAAATGGTAACCTCATCATACCATAATATCATTAGCTTAGTTTTAGCAAAAAGGGATTAACAAAGTTCCATGTTGAGAGAGAGTAAAATATATCATGTTGTGTTTACCTCCAATACTACAGCTCCTAAGGCAACCCATTTTGCAATTTTCCAATTCTTCTCCAGGAATTCATAGATCATATCAAAGTCTCCAGTTTTGTCAGTTGGAAGTGTCTGAAAGATCCAAATTGAGTAATTAGGCAACCAACAATGCAAAGCAACCAATTGAAAAGCCATGTTAAGTTATGTAACTTACATCTTTCCAGCTATGGTCAAAGAATATAAAAGCTGCACATCCAAGCTCCACTAAGATCAATAAAATAACCAATATGGAATACTATGTTTGTTAAGGACACCATTTCACAATAAAGAAACTGAAGCAAAAGAGATAAATGCTTTTGAATCTTGGAGTTCCTATGACAACAATTAAAAATATGAAGAAAAATGATGAAATTAGTTATTTTACCCAGACACAGCAAGGACAACTGGACAATGTGTCGGATACCAGATTTGCACTAAAAAATGAAGCATCCAACATGATATGGCACCTTTGTACAGGTATCTGCATATCATGGTTTAATTTACCATCTACCATCCTAAACGTCATTAACAATGTTTTCTAGTAACTAGACATTGAAACAGAACTAGAAAATTTGTAAGGACTTTCAAAAGAAGAACATTTGAACAACTTATGAAAGAAAGCAAAACAGAAAGAAAAACTTGTGTTGTGCAAAAACAAATAAGTAAATAAAACAAGGCAAGTTTTTCAGGAAAAATCAAGTAATTCATCATCATCTTGTGCCCTTGTCCCAACTATATGGTCAGCTACATGAATCTTGTTTCACCATTCCATTCTGTTTAGTGTCATATCTGTGATTTAAAAGGCGCACCTCAGGCAAGACGCATTTTAGGGTAGGCGCCTCGCCCAAGTCCTAGGTGCAGCCCATTCAAAATGCACCTAGTGCGCCTTTTGAAAATTTGCCGCTTTTTCCTTTTTTTGAGTCTGGCGGTTGGGCCGGGGGCTCCACCCCTGGACCCCCATGCCACGCCCCTCGAGGCAAACCCAAACAAGTCCATGTTAGGGTCTTAAATTATTAGATTTCACACAAAAAATTATACACCGAAGCTTCAAGAATCCCCTATTTGGTAATGTTGTCTATTCATTCATCTTAATAAAATATCTTCTTAAAAGCAATTAAAACTATAAAATTATATTTTTTTGTGTGAAATCTAAGAATTTAAGACCCTAACATGGACTTGTTTGGGATTGCCTCAAGGGGTGTGGCACAAAGGCGGCTCATAGAATTAGGATGTAATATGTCACATTAGCTACTTGATGCAATTGAGAAAAAAAAAGAGATTGTGGGTTTTATATGTTTGATTTCATTTTTAAATTCTCATTTGAACATGCTTTACATATTATATTTATGTATTTTAATTTTAGATAATAGGTTTTTTAAAACATTTATTTTAAAACTTAAGTTCATATTTTTATTAAAATTATGTTTTATAATTTTTTTTTTAATTTTTGCAATTTTTTTGAATTTTTAGCTTTTTTTTTAATTGTGCACCTTGTCTCAAAAAGGCGCGTGCCTCGCCTTGCGCCTTGCGCTTTTAAAACACTGTGTCATATCCATTGTTAAATTACGAGTGCTTAAATCATTTCTTACCACTTCAACCTATGTCCTTTTTGGACTAGCCCCTAGCCCTTCTAGCCCCTTCAACTTGCAACAAAAATCAAGTAAATTTATGTAATCTTAAAACTTAAAACTCAAAATCATTTGAAACCTGTTATTGAAATAATGATAAATCATGCCTAAAAAATTCACATATAAATAGAAGCTGGTTAATGTCAACTAGGAAAGGAAAAGAATAGGTGATGAATCAGGATACACAAGTCAAGCAGCAACCATTCCTTGTAACTGCTCCAATGCAGCCACAACAAGATATGATGAAAAGAATAACTCCAACAGCAATGAACAAGTATATAAACCTGTAAGAACACCAATAATGGTAATATTAGCTACTTCTTCTCACTTAATATGCATGCCTCCATTTAAAACATGGGGCCGTCAAAGGTTGGAAAATTCACCTTCCTAGAGTCCCTTGGGTCAAGAATAATTTCCACAGTCTAAAACATAATTAGATGGTGCTCTAATAATACATGTTATCCACACTTTTAGATAACTTGAGCTTTATGCAAATGCTTAGAACCAAGACATCCCCCCTCAACACCCAAATATACAGAAAATGACAATCTTACCAAAGAAATCACGTACACAATCATTTACCCAAATGATGTCTGTTTTATTCAAAGTGGTTTACCAATTCATAAAAAGGAAATGGCATCACTTGGAGCAAATACCAAACGTTTTCTATGGTGATGTGGGAGCCAAGTGGTCCAATATGGGATTTCTCTTGAATTTTTTATATTTTTAGAAATAGCGAAGGTATTTTTGTCATTTGACAAACTTCTCCAGTCATAGTTTTGTTTAATAAGAGTTGCCTTTAAAAGCATTAAAATCTAAAGACAAAACATTTGTTTAAGCCCCAAAATGCAAAGCCTAAAATTGGGGCTTTGTACTTTTGAACTTTAAAATCACAAACCCAGAAGCTTATCCAAACATAACCTAATTTATTTCTTGGTCGTAGTTTATCTTCAAATACTCGCATGTGCTTTTTTACCACCTTCAATTCTAGGCCACATTGTGATCCCTTGGTTCTGATGAGTCTGACTTGCAACCTAAAACATTGAGAAAAACAAGAGCCAGACAAACTCCTTTACTGCAATGGATAAATAGATGTTTTGCATCTTTTCACTCATTACACACCAAGGAAACGCTTGGTAACTGAAAACTGAAAACTTCTACATTTTAAATGGTCCAATGTTAGAATACTGTCCATGGATAGTAACCATGAAAATGCTTTCACCCTTGGTGGAATCATATTTCCCCACACTCCACTAACATTAGAACTTTCTGCCTGCCCTCTTAATATAGCTCCATAAAATGACTTTACAGAGAATTCCCTATCTATCCCAAGTTAGAAAACAAGAAAGTACAACACGCTCTTTGATCACTCTGTCCAGCAAGGACATCTGAAAACTAGACATCAAACAATATGTTCACCTCTCTTTTCAAAGCACTGACTCAGTGAGATGTCCTTAGAACTCAAATTATATAGTCTAGGACAATGTTCACAAAGCTTGCCCTCTCCACACCATTCATCTTAGCAAAACTTCAGCCTAGTTCCTTCCCCAACCATGAACTTTGAAAGTCTATCAAATTCTGCTTGAAGATAATCCCTTTCGGCCTTTCCACATGCATAACCTGTATAAAGATGATACCTCTCTAGTATCTTCAAATCTCATTATCCCATGTTTAGATGGCACCACTCATTTTTTCCTTCTTTTTCTTTTAATAAAGTTTTACCTTTTTTTTATCAGCAAAGAAGAATTTTATTCAATTAAGAGAAACAGATACAGAATTACAGATAATGGAGAGCAGACATTGCACTGTGTTACGATAAAAAGCCCAGAAAAGCTGCTGCCTATGAACTCCCTGTTTGGCTAATGTATCAGCCATCCCATTTGTAGTTCTCATCCATGTGAAAGAGGCATTGAGTTCCCTTGCTAGGATTTCAATCTCCCTTAGGGGATGTCTATAAATCCAAGGAGCATTACCCCTTGTATTAGTACATGATATCACTAGTTTTGACTTTTGAGTCCCCTTCTACCTCCAAGTTCTTAAGATCTGCTTGCTTGGCAAGTTGTAACCCCTGTAGCAGAGCTAATAGTTCAGCCTTTAATGAATCATCTTCCTCCAAAGGTCCTGAATACATAGCCAATACTTTGCTTGAGGAGTCTCTAAACACACCACCAATGCCTGCCAATATTGGGGGCTTCCAATAACCCTACCAAATTTCAGCTTGATTTTGTTGAGAGCTGGGGGCTTCCACTCCATCACTTTTCATTCTTTCTTCTCAGAAGAGTGTGCTACTTCATTCCACACTCTTGGATATTCATCACCTTTAACCCTACCAAATTTCATCCTAAACCCCATCTGAAACCATAGTTTCCAGAATTTTTCTAGTTTCCCTCATAGGGAACTTTTTGATCCTTTTGTCAAAAAAAATATCCAAATGCTTTTTTTATTAAATTGCCCCATACAATCTCTCATTCTAAACATCTCTACAAAGTTTCATTGAAAAATTATATACCTATACTTTTTTGAATTTTCTATTTTTCCACCATCCAACAATAATCTGCAATTCTTAGCAAGTGGACCTACATGAATTTGGTATTAGAGTAAGCCATTCCCACCACATCACAAGGTTTAACCTTGCAGCTTATGTCACTTAATTTCTTTTCATCTTAATTAGAATGGTATATAGTTTTCCTGTGTTATATATAGTTCTCTATCTAATTGCAAATAGCAGTTTGAAGCATGTCTAGGTTATATAGTCAAATGTTTAAAACGCCGAGGTGTGACATAAGGTATTCCACCATCCTAAGGCATGAAGCATAAACCAGAATGCAAGAGGCATAAGCCTCCCAATCATGGATATTTTTAATTAATAAATACTTAAAATAGGATAAAAATAGTAACATTATGAGAATTTAGAATATTTCATTTTTTCCAATTTCTAATAATAGAAGCATCATATTTGAACATAGAATTGAAGTATCATCATCCATAATATATCATCAACCATCAATATATCACTCCAAAGTTGCAAATCAGAACTTCAGAATTAATAATTCACATAAATTGTACAACATTATTATAAACAATTGTACCGTCTCATATTCAATCAAATGTAATGCATTAAAAGAAACCAAAGCCCCCCTCTTCTATTTATGGGAATTTTTTTGATAAATGTTCTATATATGACATTTTATTAAAATATTACAATAAACAAAAAAGAACAAACGATATGGGTAAACAATTTCAATGTGTGATAGAGAATGGAAAAATGGAGTTATTGATTTGGGCCACACTAGCCAAAAGCTCAATATGATGCAGGATGGATCTAAAATGCATGAGCTGCTTATATGAGGCCACACATGCAAAAGAATTTTTGGATATAAACCACCATTTTTCCTTAACATATTCCCCCTTTCTTGATAGTTGATAGTACCACATGCATTATCTTCAAAACAAATACACTAATACCTTGAAATAAATTTCAGGATTCCAATGGTAATGATAGAAGTTGACATATTGTCAATTATATATACAGCAATAAATGATAATAGGCATGCATATGTTAGATTTGAAAGCACATTATTTCTGATACAGTCTCTGTTTGGAGGGGTATAACCATATTCAATTTTATCAGAAAATCTCCAAGGAAATATCTAAAGATAATAAGAAAACTCAATGCAACCCCAAATACTTTAGATTAAACATATAGGTTATAAGACGAAAATATTGTTTATGTTGTCAGAGTGGAAGAAAAGGATCATGATCAGTCAGATATACTGGAAGAGGCTGATTTTGGGCAAGAGCAGCACGAGTTGAAAAAACATGTCACAAGGACATCAAGATAAAAGGATAAGACACTAGCTACCATATTATTATGGAAAGACCTTAATGATCAGTGGATTGCTAATGTATGAGGGTCAATTGATGTATACTGGAGCATTTCAGAAGATATTTCTCTCTCTAACAAAAGATAATTGATACAAAACAAGTCTTGTATTTTGTTGGAACAGAAGCAAGAGATTAATACTGCATAAATACATTAAAAGAAACATAACAACAACAGAGAGCTATACTTTCAAACTGCAGATAATAACAATAAGTAATGAATGACTACAAGTGATCTGAGAATTACAAGAAGATTTATAACAAAGTTAGAAACCTAAACTTGCTCAGTCTCATTTTCAATAAAAGTAAACTTTGCTCAAAAAAAAGTTCGGGGAGGTTTTTCAGCTAGGCGTCCTCATATATCCAACTGCCCTCACTTTGAATAAATCCAGAAAACAGTGGTAAATAGCTCATCAATTATTCATTTTTACCGACCAAACACCATGTTCAATATCAAGACTAGAAAAAAAAATACATTATGATTTACGGCAGAAGAGATTTTCATACCAGGCTTTTGGTAGTTTGTCAAAAATGTTGCTCGACAGAGACACAACCAGTAACATAGGCCGACCAAGCTGTACAAATTCATGATTGTCGCTGAGAGGCGAGAGAGAATCCGTGTCTGCAGAAGTTTTCTTCCATTCGACCAACAAGTAGATGCCATAGCCCACCATGGCCAACCCAACTAGCGTCAACAAGAAGTTCAGAAGCTTTAATAGGCACTCCAAACACCCTCTGCAAGCCATCTTTTCGAATTTTTTTCCCGCTCTCTTCAAGCAAATGCTTCTCTATTTGATGATCTCACTTATTCCCCTCAACTGAAACCCGCATTGGCCTCCAAAATCAATTACCAAATCACCACCTTGAAACATTAGGAGTTCCCATTAAAACAAAGTCCAATTGAAGATTGAAAGGAAATAATAAACCACTAAATTTGTGAATAAAGTTCAAAGAATATATATCACTTTTTTAATACTAATACAATGTCGAATGAAATTCTTCGTGTACTCCACCTCTGATCATCTAAAAAGTAGACATTACACGCCGAGCTTTGAGAAATCTTTTGGTCAATACTTTTCAGGCGAGAAAAACGAATCAAAAAGGCGATAACGATCAAAAATATCCTCAGAAACCGGCTAGATCGGTTAGAAAATAGAAAATTTCTCGAATTTTTCCTTCCAAAAACCATTGAGATGCCAATCTCAGAAGAGAAATTACCAAAACCGATGGAAAACTTGCAGAGTTGCAGTTACTACCGATGCTTCCGAGCTATGGATTACCAGATATAGAGATCCTGCTCGGAAGAAATCTAGAGACCTGCAAGGAGAGCCAATCCTTGAAAGCAGCAGGAGAAAATGATGAATTACGTTCTATTTTATTGATTTATTGTTTATTTTCTAATAACCAGGGGAAAAGCGAATGGCCAGTTGTCTCGTGGCACGTGGCAAAATCTCGTAAACTTCAGGTAGCTATGAACGGCTAAGATGAATAACTTGGATTAGGACGGTGCAAAAGTGCTTCGGTCTCCCTCTCCCATCACCATGTTCTCAACCCGGCAGGCCGGCAGGCTGCAGATAGAAATTTATTTGTTAATTTACACGAATACCCTCAATTGTATTTTCAGAACTTGCTTTTGCACTATGGTATTTTGTCAATAGTGTGTGTTGGTATTTTAGCCATTAAAAGTACAAGACAGCCTGAAACCGGCAAACCGCTGCGCTGGGGACCCAATTTGTTTCCGTCGATTAGCTGGAATTAATTAAAGAAAGGGTAATATATGGAATATTCGTATTAACCACGGGAGAGATCTGGTATTTCGCAAGCTACCAAATTAAAATGATCAAAGGGTTTAAGATGCATGATGTAAGCAAAACAATTGCCGGCAGTGGGGCCTCAGAAAAAATGGCGGGTATCTATATCTATCCAAAAGAGGAGAAAGAAATGGCGGGAAGATGAAGGGCCGACGGCTGAGCGTAGGGACTAGGGAGTAGAGACCCACTTACCATTCAAAGACAAGAGCTACCTGTCAAGCGTGATGAAGTGGGTGAGACTGAGAGACTCGACATCGAATCCCACCGAGGGCGTTGTAATTGAATTCTTCCGTTCACAATCCGACGCAACTCTCTTATGCTGCAACAAGTGAAAACGACACCAATAAAATTTCAAATCTCAAATTCTCAATCCAGGTGAACCTTATAAATAAAAAGCCACTTGCCCAGCCCTTGAAAAGTGTTGAAAAATGAAAAATCAGCTATACTACTGCCACATGGTGAGCCCTTTCGTCCATTGACGAGAGTATACTTTTCTTTTTCGCCCATGAAAAGTTGGTTTGTACTGGACAAAAAGCGAGGGTATTTTGTGCAAGTTGGGCCGGGTGAACCCAGATCCAATCCAAATCAAGTTCGAAAATGGTGAAAACAAATAAGGCTTCTGGCCGCCGATAAGGGCAAAAATAATTTTCAAGATAACTTTTTAAAAAAATATTAAATAAAAGCACTGCACACTTTTGCTCGTCTTCCTCTACTAACAAAGAAACAATTCTCTGTGTCAAAAAAGAGTTCTAATGTTCTAATTCCCAGTGCTCCTCTACTTTTGGGTATCTTCTCCAGGATAAGGTGAATATTTTCTACAGGGTAAGGGGAGGGATGACGAATTCCCATTGTTGCTCATCTACTTCAGAAGACTGAATGACGAATTCAACAAGGTGAATATCTTCTACAGGGATAAGGTGGAGGAGGTAATGAAGGAAGCGAACATGTTGAATAAACAGATGGGCACATTGATAACATTTCGGATAAAGGTGGAAAACCTCACATTGTGCGATGGGTCAGCCGAGATGGCTCTTTTGCTTCAGATGTTGCCAGCTCTGCATCGGCAGTGACCGCCTCTATTCCCTTCAGCGCCAGAGACAGCAGTTCCAGTAAGTCTCGATCCACGATTTTCGCATAACAACTTATCTCTTCATTGATTGTGCCGTTTGTCAATTTGGCAAACATGTAATGGGTGGATTTTAGCTAAGTCCAACCATTCTCCTCGATGTCCTCGAAAAGGGAAGAAATGCCGGTAAACATCAAGTATTGCAACCACCTAACAAGACTTGCATCAGTTCTTGTTTACAAGCATTAATTCTTTTCTGCAAGCAAAGACTTCAACTTCCTTGCGACCCATTAAAACACTGACACGTCAGCCTCTTCAAATTCTGTTCGCATGAATACAGAGGTAGGGAGGAAGACAGGCAACAGTGCAATTACCCTTATTTGATATTTAAAAATAAAAAATAAAAAAAAAAATCTTATTCTGATTATTATATGAAAAGCATTATTTTTATTGGTATTTGGGGCAAAATATTGTCCTTATCGGCTAGAAGCCCAAATAAATAATGTATTCGAGTTAGGACTTAATCCGCTATCAGGGTTGAAAAATACGATTAATTTATTTGCATTGAAATTACACAAACTTCCGTAAGACGTTGGGTTTTATCATATACATTCAATCTCAACAAAAGTTCGAAATTTAAAAAAAAAAAAAAATCTAAAATTAAGACTTAAGAGAATCCGTGGACAAACCTAATGGCTTAAGCTTTAGTTTAAATTCGAGCAGCTGCATAGAAATCATCTGAGACGTCTAATAGATTCGTTTGAATATATAAATTGTGTACATATTGTAAGGCACCATAATTAAACAGCCCATCTTTTTGCTTATATATTCTGTAAGGGTCAGTTTAGTTTGCAATATAATTCCAAACAATCGCAACATGTATCCTTTACTATATAAATATATTTCTCTTTCTTGTGCCTAAAAAAAAAAAAAAAAAAAAGCTTTAGTTTAGAAAGTGGAGTTTAATTATTGTGTACAAAGTCTTGTGTGTGCATACAAACCTCCCTTTTTTGGATTTTTGGTGTTTGGGTTGGGCTTAGGTCCAAGCCTTTGGGCATTTTTTTTTTTTTACTTTTTGGGTTAGGCCTGGACTTAGCCCTTAGGCAGTTCAAGCCCAGTTCAAGCCCGCCCCAACCTTACATATATACATATGTGTATATGTATATGTATAATTTTAAAATGGATTCATTGACTAACCTGAGCCCAACCCAAGAGTTTTGAAATTAGCAACCTTGTGGTTCTATACCTAACTACCTAACTAAGAAACATGATTTGTTGGTGTAACCATGACGTGGCAGTAATATGATTGTCTTACACACAACATGGTACAGTTAGGGGTGTCGATTGGACTGGATTTGGTCCAATCCGATCCAGTCCAATGTGAACCCATTACAAATGGACCAGGTCCAATCCAATCCAATTAATAATTTGAACCGGTCCAATTCAATGTTCCAACCATCCAATTTGTTCAAATTCATTTTAATTTAGATCGGTTTCAATTTAAACCCAGTCCATTAATACCTATATTCTTATCTTATATCAATCAACCGGATATTGGCTTAATCCAACTAAATCCAGTATAGATTTATTCCGGACAGATCAGGTCCAATCCAATCTAATAAATATTTTGGACCGGATTGGTCTAACCCACTATGTCTTTTTGAACCATTCAAATCCCATCCAATCCAAAACCAGTCCATTGACACCCTTAGCTACAGTCATAATGTATATATGGATGGTGATTGTATGATCAAAAGCAAATAGTGCAAGTACACTTAACATGAATCATATAATCAATGCTCACATATCACTGTTCAAAAAATGAACCATCCACAAAATAAGGTGGTATGGTCCACCACTGATTGGTCCACCACTAAGACAATTACCAAATTCAACTAATCATTTTCTCCATAGAATCTATCAATCTTTTTTTTTTCTTTTGAAAATGACATCTTTTTTTACACAAAAACAACACAAGCAAGTAATTTTCAATTCCTTTAGGCTTAGTTTGGAAGTAGTACAAATGCAAATATGTAAAGTGTAAAACCTTATGTTTTGTATTATTTTATATTTATTAGTAATTAAGCATGTGCCTTTCATGTATGATTTTTTTTCATATTAATTATTTTAATTTTAGATATATCATAGTTAGGATAGAAATTGAAAATTAATAAAAACAACAATATGATTAAAAATAAACTTAAATGTTTGTACTAAATGTGCACCTACAGAAATTTTAAATTACAATAACAATTATTATTATTGTTGTTGTTGTTGTTGTTGTTGTTGCTGCTGCTGCTACTACCACTACTACTATTTTGTATTTCATTTCTGTCTTAAATAAAAATGATTTTTATTTTAATAATTATTTTTACTTAATATGACGATTATATAACATTGGAAATGTTCTGAAATGTCTTTGACAAAACACTATACTTATTTATTTTTTGTGTTGTATATTTTTTAAATATCTATTATTCAATTATTTGACTATGACATCATTTCATTTATAGGTTGATTTTAATTTTGGTATCCCATTTTCATCATTTACGAAAATACTTCTTACATTTTGATGAGGGCGGATTTGGCCCTCCAATGACATCGTGACACATGGCATCTTGGAACAACTGGATGACACCTAGACACCACCTAAGCGATGATTTGGAGTCCTAGATCGCGTTTTGTCTTCACTCTAACCTAGTGACTTCGACCACAACATAGGTTGGCTTGCAGCACCTCATCCAGGGCCGACCTGTAGCACATCATCACTGGCTGAAGTGACCTCGACGTGAAGAGCGACCTCCCTCGAGGGGCTTGCCGACCTGACTGAGGACCAGGCGGTGACCTACGAGATGTGCTCGCCAACAAATCGACATGCATATCCTGACAATCCCAAGTTTCTCGGAAGTTGGCCCACGTACCAGATATTTCGGAGAATGGTCAACGTGCATGGCAGTTACCTCCGAGGATCTCGGACCGGTTAGGTACGACCTCCTAGAAATCTCGGATGCGGTGCATGAGGCCCACACCAAACAATGCCTATATAAGGGCACCAACCCCAATGACATAGGAGAGAGGCGAGTAAACACATTATAGCTCTCATACTTTCTGATTTTTTAGCTTGCGATCTATTACGAGAGTACTAACTTAATCATCGGAGCGACCTCATCGGGTTAGCCACCCCGGGTCCTCTAACATTGACTCCTTGCAGGTTTCTCTGAAAAGCTACCTAGCTTGGCAATCAACCTAGCTCGGCACTCAATCTACCCCTCAGCTCGGCCTAGTCAGCTCGACATCCAAGTCCTCATCTAGCAAAA